TGGCTGCCTAAATAACCCGAGGACTTTATTGGAACTCTTACTCCACACTGGTGAGGCTGAGCTGCAACCTGACTTTCACCATGCAAGGGTCTTGGGAGTGTAAGACAGAGATGACTGCACGAAGTAGACTTGGCGAAGTGGGGGGGAAAGGTCCGGAATATTGGATTGATGCGCAGGAATGGTTCCATCGCCATTGTGAGAATATTGTGGCATAGTGACGAAATTCAAGACATGCATGCTTGGCCTGAACGTCAGCAGCTTTCCTTGAGCCGTGGTTGGGCCTCTGCGCCATTAACCTTGCTTATGACAATGCATAGAACGTACGCTATTGGGGGTTAGACTAAATAGTCCATGCAGTTGCGGATCCCGCCGTTTTGTTGCCTGTCTAGAAACCTGAGCCGCACTATAATGAGACTACTGCCAATTCTGGTACTACTAGCCAGCCACAATAGAAAAGCCTAGCCGTTTTACAAGCGATAACATGCCGAACTAGTAGTGCCAACTGAAACACTTGAGATCGCACAGCCTAGATCTGGGTTTAAGCCTACGTTGAGCGTGATGACGAAATGCACACCGCTCATTTACGCAGTTGTCATCATTCCCCTGTGAGATTGTTCAGCTGGGCCCATAATTCAACGCTTACTCAGATTGGCGCTCTCAATGCATCGGCTTGCCCGCTCACCTATTATTGTCGTTCATAGTAATACTGTAACCTCGGCATTGGTGCCTGATAAGGCGAATGACTCTGGACGCTTATGTAGCTAGTTCGAGACGGGCTCGGCCCGCGTGGTCTGGGGCCACCTGTTCGTTTAGCAAAGCTAACTAGTCGAAGGTTGTGTTCCTTTGCGAGCCTGATCGTTTTGTTGAGATGCACTAATGGGTCCGTGGCTGGCTGAGAAACATAGTCCTGTTCATGTGGCGAGCTGAGGGTGTTGTCCGAAACATCACGCATTCTAGACTCGTATTGACCACCATCTGCTTACTGTTGGTGCTAATCGCCAAGGCCATGTTGACTGAGGGGCAGTCTTGGGTTATCCGCGGCCACATGGATAAGAGGAGCTGCTATCCTTACAGCGTAGCTGAGATGAAAAGGTAAACAGAATATATAAAGTAGTTGATGGAGCATGGGCAGGAGTATCAATCCAGTTCCTACATCTCTCCACCTTCCATCACTCTCATCGCCGACCCCTCCTTACTTAGCAAGAAATCACATTTTCTATCATGGCAACAGCCCCTCCTCTTACCCCCCGTCCTCCTCAGTTGACATTGGATGAGATTCTCAACTCCAAAATCAATTATGCTGTCGAGGATGATCCCCTCGAGGTCTGGGACAAGGGCGTCTTCCTGAATGAGCTTCTCAGACAGGGCATCGTCCTCAGCACTGACAAGACTGGCGCTCTTGATGGCAAGCTTGTTGCACGCAAGGGCCTCCAGACTGGTACCTATATGGGTACTCGCTTAGCCTTGACGGAACTGTACAAGATTCTCGAAGAAGCGTAAGCAAGACGATCTTGGCTCTCTCATTCTCTAATCAGCTGACTTTGAATAGCGCTGCCTCTCACTTCGACACTCAAGGATTCGAGCCCATCTTTCCCGTAAAGCGTGATCTCGCTGTTAAGCAGAGCACCTACCAATGGAGCGACCCTAGCGATTGCTATCCCCCTCATCTCAAAACCGACACCCTCCCTAAGGATGAGCAACAAAGTCCGGACGGCGGCCCCAGAAAAGATGGCGTCGGACAGATCTTCAACGAGACAGAAGTCAACTTCGTCAAAAAGCTTGCCTTCATGTTCTCATTCATCATCCCCAAGGAGCTCTCATCCACCGATGGTCCCTACGTCGGACCAACTCTTGCCGACGTTGAGAAGTGGAGCAAGGACAACCAGCCAAAGTTCGAAGCTGACGCTGACCAGAGCGCGAAGCCCAATGGCGCTGTTGTCAATGGCGTCAAGCAAAGCCAGAACGCAGATATCATGAAGGGAAGAAACATGGGTGAACACGATGATTGGTACTCTGATGCCAAGTTTGCGCAACAGCACTTCAGCGGTGTTAACCCTTCAACTATTGAGACTGCTCCTGCTGAGAAGATCAAGGCTTACATTGCTGAGGCAGAGAAGCAAGGCCTTGACGCGGTGAAGAAGTTGCTCGAGGAAGGCAAAGACCTTTTGATTCAGGATTATTCCTACTTCCGTGAGGCCACTGGAGTCAAGAACGACGATGAGTTCAAGAACACGATCCCGAACCCAGATCCTAACGGCCAGTCCAGCTACCGATACGCTGCGGCCTCGGTCGTTGTCTTCCAGCTCCACGAGGACGGACGCCTTCACCCATTGGCCATAACCCTTGACTACAAGGGCTCTCTCGATAACTCCGTCACCATCTTCAACAAGAGACTGAACCCTGATGACAAGGGCAACATCGCTGAGAAGGACGACTGGCCTTGGAGATATGCCAAGACCGTTGCTCAAACAGCTGACTGGGCACGACACGAGGTCGCTACCCATCTTGTTGACACGCACATGATTGAGGAGGCCATCATCGTCGCCACTAACCGAACCATCCCCGAGCGTCACATCCTCTATGAGATCCTCAGCCCGCATTGGTTCCGAACCCTTGCTCTCAACGACGCTGCGCGCAAGCTTCTCGTTCCTCTCGTCATCGCTCGTATCTCCGGTTTCGCCTCTGGACCTAAGCCCGATCCCAAGGTCGGCGCTTTTGGACTGGTTAACTGGTCGTACAAGAACTTCAACTTTCAGGATAAGTACATTCCCAATGATCTCAAGAAGCGAGGCTTTGACATTGAGTGTGAAAAGGGTGATAAGTACCGCAACTATCCTTATGCTACTGATATGTACCTCCTCTGGGGTATTATCAGGGAGTTTGTCAAGTCTGTTCTTGAGACGAAGTATACTTCAGATAATGTCGTTGCCAAGGAAGCTTGTATTGCCGACTGGTGCAAGGAGATTCAGACCAGTGGCCAGATTCCTTCTTTTCCCACCATCACTACAGTGGACCAGCTCATCGACGCCGTCACCATGTGCATCCACACTGCATCGCCCCAGCACACAGCTGTCAACTATCTTCAGGACTACTACTACAGCTTCGTGCCCTCCAAGCCTCCCGCGCTCTGCACGCCTCTGCCCAAGAGCCTCGCCGATCTCGAGGGCTACACCGAGCAGCACCTGACTGACGCTCTCCCCATCGGTCTCAAGGACGCTAAGTGGAAGGACTGGCTTCTCGCTGCGCAACTTCCCGAGCTGCTGAGTTTCAAGGTTGAGGATCGATACAACCTCATCACCTACGCCAAGTCTCTGTACAACGTCAACAAGGACCGCACCATTACTGAGAACAAGGAGTTAAACTCGGAGGCAATCAAGGATGCCGCTGAGATTTTCTATAGTCGGCTCAAGAATGCGGGTTTGGCGTTTGATTATTTCTCTGCGATACAGACTCCAGGTTCTATTGAATATCCTGTTCTTCAGCCAGAGGTTACAGCTGTTTCGATCTTGATTTAAAGAACTCTTACGTTGAGATTTGGGTTTTGTGCTCAACATAGCTAGGAGTTCCATAGCTTCTTAATTTATATAATCAAGAAATGGGCTTGAATGAGTGCAAAGATTGCACGTGATTATTTAATTGAGCTTGACTTCGTGAAAGTATATTTTGTTCCGTAACCAGGTAGATTTCGCGAGAGGACGTTTTAGCTGCGAATCAGCAATATCAAGCTGTCATTGACCTAGTGATTCACAAGATCATGCCACTATACGGTTCGAGTGGCGATAAGAAACTTTGAGCTCCAGCGCGTCTCAACTCTCATTCAATAACATCCGCAAGGCATCCATGTCGTATTTTCCGCATCGGCGACGCGTCGTGTTTGAGGCAGTGCCAGTCTACCCCGAACGCGTTTCCCCTCTTCTTGACGTTACTTTGCTGCCGCCTTGTTCGCGTTGACAACGGAAGCAAAGCGCTGCCAACATCCAATCCCCTCAATCCAACAGCTCAGAACCCATTTCCACCATAACAATCCCCATCTTGGGACGCCATGTGGCGTTAATCTTGTCTGGTCAAATGCGACAGCCTCGATGGAGTGGATCACGACAAGTGGGGGAACTCCTGTCTTGACAATCCAGCGAAACGTGTCTGCGCTACCCGGCGAGATATTGTCGAGAGTTTGCCAGATGGCGTTGTTTTCAGATGTCAAGGTGACGCCAGCTAAGCATAAATAAGAGAACACAGCGCCGCCAAAGACAAGGGCGGTGATGCCGCGTGGTGGCGCGTATTCGGTGATTTTCACTGGTGAGACACGCGTAGACATGGTGACATGGATTCGGCTAATTGGCGGTTAAATACGGTGTGCGACGCGTTATGAGGGCGAACATTCATTATTTGTCCCAACTGTGATGAGGGAACATGGGCTACTTAAACAATTTTACAGCCGAGGCTGTCCAAGCTTGTGAGCCACTAGAGCCATAAAATGCCACTGATAGTCGTTGTTCAGAATATGCTAATTCTAGATTGATACTAGCTTGCGAGTCGACAGATGCTCTAATGTTACTAATGCCTCAGGCACAACATCCCACTCAACTCCGCTGTCAACAAACTAGAGACGCCAAGTGCTTTACCCCTGCACGTCATCACAGAATGAGTATAGCGCCACTATCGACCAAGAACGAGGGTCCTTACCCGGTAGCATCTCGAAAAAGGTTTATATACTTGATCATCGATGTGGGAGGCGTTCTATACCAGGAATGCTATAAACAAAATATTGTTAATTACTACATATTATGTGTGGCTTAAAGCTTCTTTTAAAGCCTCGATTTTAATTTTACAGTAGTTGAAAAAGTGTTCGCGCTTCGAATCATGATTTCTGCAACTGCGGCTGAGGCCCCCAGTCATGCGGTTTGATAGTCACTATTTCTTTATTCGCTCTCACGATCAGTCTTGTACGAGACCATCGAGCTTTCAACTCTACAATAAGATTTAAACAGTGGAAAGCTATCATGAAGGAATCGCCTCTTGAGCTTGATCCGCAAGCAGACGCCCTGCTGATTCTTCAGAAGCCGAACGCGCATTCACTTTGCGGAACCATAGATGAGTCTGCATCGGCGACAAGCATGGTCTGCCATTTCGAAAGCCGCAGTCCCTTACCGCCTGAACCAGAAGAGGATGAAACGGTAGAGATATCGGAAGTGAAGGATGAGATGAGATCGCTGCAGCCATACTTACCAAACGGTGATCTAAACCAGGTTGTGTTTCGCGTCTCTGCTAAGCATCTCTGCCTTGCGTCACCAGTCTTCCGAAGAATGATTCACGGCAAATTCAAAGAGTCAGAACCAAATGACCAAGGACTCTTGGAGATTCGAACATCAGAGTGGGATGCCGAAGCGCTCCTTATTATCCTTGATATCATACATGGCCATCACTCCAGCGTTCCCAAAAGACCAAGTCTGGACGTCATAGCACAGATCGGAGTTATAGCCGACTATTATGACTGCCTCGAAGCTATTCGAATATTCTTCCAGCACTGTCACTCATCTATGAAGATTTGGGAGAAATACTCGACTCGGCCGCCTGAATGGGGCCCTGGATGGGGTGTAATAGACCCAACACCACACTTCCTATCACTCGAGCCTTGCACGGCAAAGCCGTTTGACGGCGAAGCAACGATCGGTTTATTCATGGCCTGGATAGTCCAGGACAAAGCGCAGTTCAGGGCATTAACTGCCTCCGCAGTACTAAGCACAAATGGACCTCTGGAGACTGCTCTGCCTATACCACCCAGAATTATCGGTACGTTGTTCAAATACCTACCCAGTGCGCTACAAAGAAACCATGACTAATCCAGACTAGAAGCGATCAACAATCAGCGTTGCGAAGTCATTGATGACATGTTCTCCCAGATATATAACCTGAAAGACGATCTGATCGTAGGACTGGTTGGTTGCAATCGTCAATGCTCTTGCAGACTCCTTGGACTTCTCATGAGACAAATGCAGAGGCAATATCTACGAATGACAAAGCCGGAAAGGTCGTTTGAAGGGTATAGTGCCATGTCGCTTGACGATATTATGAACTCTCTGGGTTATGATGAACTTCAACTTATCCCGGTATAAGAAAGACTAGAGCATTGTTGTGCCAGGCCTGGACGTGAAAGGCTTCCTGTAATCGAGTATCGGATTGTTTAATAATAGATTGCTTGGAATCATCATGCAAAGCGGCTAAAAACATGAGAATAGCCAGAATTATTGGTCTTACAAGGAGATACTTCAGATCTGTCTGGAGATCTAGCTCCTTACCCGTTTTGACAAACGCTGACCCCTGCTGCCACGCTCAAAAAGGGTTAGTGGATATACCCAGCTATGACTTCTGTGACGTCGGAGGAAGCGAAGTATCGGGATTAACCCCAAAGCGGCTACTACCGGACCAATACCAGGGGTAGCGAGAGATGGATGTAACCTGTTTCACTGTTTGGAACCGTTTCATTGGTCTCGACCTGAACACCAGGCGTTGTTCGTCTCATCCAATCTCAGCAAGTCCTCCCCAGCCTCGCGACAATATGCGGTATGCCATACGGAGTAGTAGAATTTGGTTTTGAGACGACAGCTTGGCAAGGGGATACTACGCTGCACGCGTTTTAGATGGCAGCGCTAAACGAGGCACAAGACCTCCTAAACGAGGCATCGCAGGAGGTGTTTTGCTTCACGACAAAAGTATAAATCCCAAGCTTCGGGTCGTCGGTCTTTGTTTCTTCAGTACTCACTCAACAATCTCATCTAATACACACTTTCAATTCTTTTCCGCTGGTCGGTTAATCCATTTCGATTCCTACATCTTCTTCATCACAATCAATCGCCCAGAAAACAAACAAAAAACTCCCCTTCTTCAACCGTCCAAAATGCAGTTCTCCATCACCGCCATCGTTCTCGGCCTCGCTGCCGTTGCCTCCGCCGGCATCGTCGACACTGAAGGTGTTCGCAACGCCCCTCGCAGCGCTGTCCTGACCACCCGCCAAAATGGCCAGAACGGCGGCCGACCTGTTCCCAGCGGCGAGTGCTGTGTCGCCAACACCAGCCTGAAGCAGGACGCTTGCACTGCTTCCAACGGCCAAGCCGGTCGCTGCGTTCCCGGTGGTAACAACTGTAAGTAGTGGAAACGAATGGAGTGTTTATGAGATATCGCTAACGATAGTCATAGGTGGTGGCCGACTGAGCTGCGTTGCCCAGGCCAACTTGGAGTGTGATGCCAACGTCATTGAGCGCGGAAAGGATCTTTGCCGCGCCAAGGCCGCTAACGGTCTCTTTGATGGCGGTAACATCATCCAGAACCTTAGCCAGGCTTCGGTCAACTAGGGGGAGATTTGTAGTTAGAAGGGTGGCCTGGCGTTGAGGACCGATGTATGAAGGAGTTATGGGATCTAAAATGGATCTATTATAAAAATTATTATTTGGCCAAAAAATGTATCTCGAAATTCGTTGTGATTGATGAAACTTGATCTTGGCTAAATAATGTTTTCATCTCACAGGAATAACCAGCTTTCGTCTTGCTCCCAGATAAATCTCAGCCAACTCTGTTTACGCCCCTCGTTACCATCTTGTCCCCGCTCCCAAATTCTTTCAAGCATCCATAGGGCAGTTCTAACATTATAGCAACATGAAGACACCCAGACACTATGCATAATGTTCTTTACCTCTTCCATTGTTTGTGAGTCTTCAGCTCCAGCACCAAGGACGAAAGCAGGCCATACCAGACTCTTGACATGGAAGTCGCTTGCTTGTATCTGCGACATATGCGATATACCGAGCTCAATAAGCCGCAACGCCTCCGAACAGTAAGATGACGGGGGACTAGAAAGTTCTTCGATAAGCTGAAAGGCGTAGACGCTGACGGCTGCTTTGTATGCATGGGCGAGATGGTATCTTGACTCATAATGCTGAGGATCTGGAAAGTCATGAGCCCAGGATCGTGGAGAGAAATTGTTCAAGCCATCGAGGATCGATGTGACAGTTTCGTCCGCGCGGCTGGAGTGATCCGATACATTACGTAACGTATTCATGACGTGCAGTAGGGAGAGGAGGTCTGCCGGGCAACCGATCCATGTCTGTTGCTCGGATCTCCGAAGTGTATCTAGTAAGCCAGTGTCCAAAGGCATTGGTGCCACACGGAGTGAACGTGACGGAACAAGGGTGCTGCCGAGTATACCAAACCTAAAACTGTCAGTTCGGTGACTTTTTTCGTTGGCAGCAGGTGACTTACGTCGTACAAGCAGTATCGAAATACTGCAGCCACTTTTCTGAACCATCTATTACGAGGCCTTTCCGAATCCTGATGAGCTCTTCAGCGCCTCGTAGGTGATACTTCCAACCTCGACCGCCGAACTCGACTACATCAAGGTTGACAAACAGCAGAACTGCGGCGATGACTGCATCGGTGTTGATCTCTGGTTGGACTCGTAGCTCATGCTTGAGATATCTTAACGCCTTCTGTTTGTTGAGGAGCGCTATACGCACTACCTCACTATGACCTGGCTGTAGCTGGGACTGACTGATGTCAAGTCGATGTGCTATGTGGAAGGCTGATATGGAGATCATTATATGTGATAAGGCCTGGCTGGATGGCATCAAAGGCATGAGTGAAAGAAAAGGGTTGAAGGACGAGTTGTTGTATACGACACACTCTTTGGAGAGCTCTTGATGAACTGGTAGTATCATGAGTCGGTGGACGTAAGAATGCTCTCAGAAACGACTCACAGTATCGTATGTACTCTCGACAGCTTCTTGGGACGTCTTGTAGACCTGGCTCCACCAAATACGACTCATTTGGGGAACTTACGTAGAGCTCAGTGACAGCTATGCTTGCGTGCCCATGAGCATTATCCTCGATCGTGTTGAATGATGCCTTGCCCATCATCTTACCCCTACTGGCCACGCTGTTGGTCCATACTATCCTTTTTGCCCGCTCATACCCTGAGCATGGTAGCAGTGAGGATGCACAGCGCTGACATCTTGGGAGAGCTCTGTCACATCTGACCCGCTTCTGTCGGCAGGTCTTACACGAATTAGGCGCAAAGAATTCGTCTTGCATCGTAAGTGGAGTCAATGTCGGATTTATTTTGCTTTTCTAGAGACTGAGGCTCTAGTCTATAGACCTGGGTCCGACAAAATTCTAAGTGTTGAACATATCCATTCAAGATGAGGTGATCGACGTTAAACCGAATGTGGAAGCCCGGGCGCGAACCCTGTCAATGCGGATTCCGATTCAATTCCGGGGCAAGATGTCGACCAGTCAGATCCTTTGAAGCATACAGCGACTGACTAGTCTTGTATCCTTGATAGATAAGTTCGATATCTCATGCTGTTGATTGCTCGCAGGGATGACACTTGGAGATAGTGTAACATCACCCTTCTCAAGTTTCACAAGTTAGTTATACAAGCGCGCGATTTCGCCATCGCGGCTGATCCTGAGCAATTGACCATGTCAAATGAAAGCAGGAATCGCATAAAAGGTCCATTGTACCCGTGACGATCATATCAAGTCCTGGCTTCCATGTTTTCTCGCTGATATTGACGACACCATGGATCTCACCTATCGCTCAGATGAGCCTTCTGTAGTCCCCTCACCTCTATCCCAATCAGTCGGATATGGCGTTGTTGTTGCAGCTGGGTTGGCGTTTGCCTTTGGTGAGTTGAGCACCCTGATAATGCCAGAAACGAATTGAAGAGTGTTAACTATGATGATAGGCATGATGGGCTTGACTGCCATTCTCAAAAAGACCTTGAATGAAGACAACTCCAAAGTGGAAACGTAAGCAATTGCCGCACTCTCTAAGGACTTACTGATTCTAACCTTTTGATTGTAGTTTCATGGTTGCCAACAGAACAGTACGAACAGGTCTAGTCGCATCGGCCGTAGTTTCGGTACGCCACTCTCGTCCCCTATCGAACGGCAAATATACTGATTTTACTACAGTCATGGCTATGGAGTACTGCTCTATTGAGTTGCGTCCTGGTCACTTACAGCTACGGCATCAGCGGCGCATTTTGGTACGGCGCTGGTTGCTCAACTGTCATCGTCTTCTTCGGATACCTGGGAACAGTGTGCAAGGGACGTGTCCCTGAAGCACATACTATTCTCGAAGTCATTCGTATCAGATACGGTGAGTTGCTCCTATTTCAGGTGTCAATCTACCCTACTAAATCGTGTAGGAACTGTCGCGCATTTGAGCTTCACATTCTTGGCTATCGTGAACAATTTGCTCAATACGATCAACATGATTCTGGGTGCATCGGCGGCCATCTCCTTTTTGTGCGCAATATTTCCAGCCTGCATTTAATACACCACTGACCTTGCCCAGAACCGGGATGCATATCATGGCATCGACCTTCTTACTTCCTCTCGGTGTTGTCCTCTATACACTCGTTGGCGGCATCAAAGCAACGTAATATCCCCAGGCGTCGCATCTAATGCAGTTGCTGACCCCAGTATAGTTTCCTCACCGACTACATTCACACTTTCGCCATCCTTATTCTGAGCTGTTGGTTGACTGCCAAGGTCATAACGTCGGAATCTGTCGGCTCAATCGGACGCCTTTACGATCTCGTCGTCGCCGCTCAGTCAAGCCATGTTGTTGAAGGCAACTATGAGGGTTCGTTACTCACCATGACCTCCCAGCAGGGTATTTACTTCGCTATCATCCTCCTAACCTCCAATTTCGGTGCTGTTGTTGTATGTAATGCTTTCGTCGTGGTTCGTGCGTAGAACTGACATAGCTAGATGGATACGGGATACTTCCTCAAAGCATTCGCTGCTTCGCCAAGCGCTGTTGTCCCAGGCTATGTCTTGGGCGGGATCTCTTACTTCAGCATCCCGTGGTCGCTCGGCACTATCGTGGGAATGGCGTCTCTGGGGCTTGAGGCGCTTCCTACCTTTCCTACATACCCAAGAGTCAGTAATGTTTTCGATGATCGTTCACGACGGACCACTAACGTTGCAAAGCTGATGACTAGTGCTGAGGTTACGAACGGTCTTGCTCTGCCTTACGTCGCTGTTGCTGTCGCTGGTAAGGGAGGTGCCGTTGCCGTTCTACTAATGACTTTCATGGCTGTCACCTCAACTT